TTAAAAGAACTGGCTATAAGCACTCATATGACTAGTATACTAATATCTCAATCAAACCAAAAAACTACGGCTAGTTTTGATGAGTACAGCACATTATCTCTCACAAGATCCATACTTTCACATATATATATATATAAAAATGGTTTTATTTTTACATTTTACAAAATTGTGTAAACATTTAAGTGTTGTATATATATGAAGGAATGACAGCAAGTAGAGGTGGTCTATCTAATACTTGACAGACCTGATTAATAAAATCAGTAACAAAATAAATAATAACATTTAATGAAATATGACCCTGAAGTGGAGATTCACTCAGAAAAAAATGGAATTGGGATTCTTGAATACGTGTGGAAAAGTACAGCATGTAACTGCCACTTCCACCCATAATACTGATGAAATACCTCCATAGCACTATACTATTAGAGCCATGAATTGCCTTCTAAATATATGCCTGAGAAAAAAGGTCTTTACAATATAAATATAAATGAGCCATGAAAACTAATGTACTTATCTGGAATGACAAAAAAATAAGTGATGGTTTGACTCAAGCATGTATTTAGGGCAGTGGATCAATTCCTCTCCTTCTCACCCATCACTCTCAACACATTTACCCAGAAATCACAGTTTAAAGAGAGAGAATTCACAGACTGAGATGTGAATCCTCAGTCGTAAAAGAATATACAAATTCACACATTTTTTCTACTACTTTAAAACTGTCATTAGGTTCCTTACATCCTAATCATAAAGAACACTTGTAATATTGCAAAATGAGATAGCAATGACAAGATTTTCATGATTGCTAAAAAGCTCTGATAAGCACAACTCAACGTAAGCGTGAATCAAAAGATGTACATGAGCTCCCGGCTGCTGAAAATATAATAATCTCCATTTTTTTTTCTTTTGATGAATGAGATTACCAATACAATGTGATAAATCATAAACAAGCATGTGCAAAAGTCCCTTCACCACAAGCCAACCTGTGGTTATATTGCTGCCATATAAAATGCTAATCTGAAAGCTAATTCCTTAAGATTAAGCTGTACATGAGATTTTCAATTTGTCTGTCTATACAATTAAAATAACTTTTTCCAATCATATCCATCTGTTTAGATTGCTTTCTTTACTTTGCTATCACACTCTATTCATTTGTGCACCTGCAAACCTTGCAACAAAAAGACTATAGCAACCATAATAAAATTTAGCTTCCTTCTTATATGCTAGTTCTGGCTCCCACTAGAATGCTCCTGAAGCTTTTCATAAATTTGGATTAAATGCAGAAAAAATAGTTATTTTCCAGGTTTTACTACATAAAAACCTTAGTTTCTACATCTGTGAAGCCTTCAGGCTATTTTTTCTGATTATATTACTGTGATTGGATTATGTGTATGAACATCAAAATTTGCTAAAAGATCTTTGTAATATTACTGACATCATGGATCTATACTGGAAAATTCAGTCTCTCAGCAATGTAAATAACCGAAAAAAAAAAAAAAAATCACTACTATCCCCAAAGACATTACTTCAAGTTATGCTTGAAGACCAGGATCATTTTCAAGATAAAAGTTTTTTTCATATTCTTTTGGTCCTGTTGCATCAGAATTTATTTTAATCATGTTTCATTTGTGCTTTTGTAAAGTCACAGCTAAATTGCTGTCATTGTTACTTAAAATTACTATTTACAATGATAATTATGATTCATGTAAGAATATTGTGCAAACACACCTTCAGTGAATTAAATTCTGCTGATTTGAGAATTATGTCAAACAGAAATTACACATTTAATTTTTGCAAAGTATTCATAACTGTGACATGTATTGTGTCACAGATATGGCCCTCTTGTTCCCTTTGCACAACTATTTATAACTGGGAAATAAACCTTGACCAAGAAGAATGGCTTTCATCATTTTCCTTTAAAATATTTCATATACCATATTATTATTTCTCCACTTATTATTACCTTTTATTTAAATCATGCCAAGACCTAATCAATCCCAATCACATATAGTTGTTTTCTTAAATAATTTTGTATTTACAGTGCAATTTTAGTCAAACAGCAGCAGCTATTTTCAATAGATTAAAAAAAAAAAAAAAAAAAAAAAAAAAAAAAAAAAAATCACTGATGTGTGGTTCATGACTACAAGTTGGTCTTGAATAAAGTACTTATGAAGACTGAACCCCTTGCTCTGGGGCACATGAGCATGGTCGTGGGGTGGCGGGGGCTGAGCCTGACATAGATGAACTTGGGGGAGGGATGGGTACATTCAGTGGACGACCTGCCATCAGGTCTTTCATTTTCTGATGAATGATGGGGAAGGTTGGTCTGTCATGTGGCCGCCGCTGCCAACACCAGGTTAACAAGGAGTAAGCCTCGGGAGGGCAGTGGTCGGGACATGAGAGAATTCCTCCCTCCTTCAGGAAACAAACAACCTCTTCATGTGTCATTCCATAGTATGGTTGCAGTGCAAAAGAAAATATTTCCCATAAACATACCCCAAAGGCCCAGACATCACTCTCTACAGTGTATTTATTATATAAAATGCTCTCTAGTGGCATCCAGCGAATGGGGATGGCATCACTGTCATCTCCCCTATAGTAATCTGCAATGTAAATCTTTTGAGACAGACCAAAATCTGCTATCTTAACTGTCATGTCTTCACCAATAAGGCAATTTCTTGTTGCAAGATCTCGGTGCACAAACTTCCGGTCTGACAAGTAAACCATACCTGCAGCAATCTGGGTAGCAATCCACAACATATCCTTGTAGCTAAGTTTTGTATCACTAAAAGTATCCCCATTTGAAGACCTTACAATGTAGTTAGTCGGAGAACATGACCTGAGGAACTCATTAAGGTCTCCACGTCCCATGTACTCAAACAGGAGACACATAGGTCTTCCAACAGCACACACCCCAAGTAACCTCACTATATTTGGATGGTCAAACTCTGCCAGAATGCAAGCTTCTCTCTCAAAGTCCCCAAGCATGTCCTCTGATGCCTCTTCCTTCAGGACTTTAACAGCCACCATGGTAAGCTCCTCACCAGTGACCAGACCGGGTGCCTTGCCCTGAAATTCCAGAAATGTATTATTAATTTGAGACACATGCACTTTCCGTACTTTTGCACGAAGAGAAGGGAGGAAATGAACTAATAGTTTTTATTCAATCCAGATGAATAAATGATCAAGTTTCAAGTGAAGACATCTCTTCTCTTACCTGGAAAACACGGCCAAAGGCTCCTTGCCCAAGATCACGTATGTATATGATGCTATTCCTGTCGTACTGAAGCTTCTCTAGTTTGGGGTTCAGCTGAGCACAAGTTTGATGGTAGGCAGAGTTACTTGGTAATTTTGTTAAATCAATGTCTGCCTCCTGTTCACCAAATAAAGAAAAAAAAAATAGTACAGGATATTGAATCTGAATAAGTAAGAAGCACTTCCCTTTCTTAACGTGGACCAGCATTTCAATAGTGTTAATGGTTTTGTTTGAAATATACACTGAATTTTATTTATCTTTATTTATTTATTTGAAAAGCAGTAAGTTTAAAAGTTTCCAAGATATCTATCAATAGCATGCTGATATACATTAATAAACACACAAAATACTTTAGTGCTTCAATATTATCATACTAATGCTTAGGATATCAAACTTTAAAACTCCCATAACAAAATACATTATTTACCTGAGTAGTAGGTGCCGAATAGCCCCGTTTAGCATGAACCAGTTTGTGTATAAGCAGAGCACTGAGCGCGAGGAGCAGCAGGACGCCTAGACCCGCTCCTCCTGATATCATCATCATCCAAGGACTGATAACAATGTCTGTGTCTTCCTCCTCCAGTCCCTGAACGCCCTCCAGCACAGCATTGTCTGATGCTGCATTAATTGTTCAGGTTTGAATCTGATCCATTTATTTTGGGACTTTATGAATGAGTGAAAAGAGGAGTCCTTGTGCAAGGTGGCTTTTCTTTAAATGAATGTAAAAGTTTAGAGTTTCAAGTATAATTTTTACAAGGACTATTTATACAATAAGAAATCATGAAATTACTTCTAAAACTAAAAATCTAATAATAATTTAGCATTCACTCCTTTTCCTGTTGATAATTTTAAATACACATTTCAGTTGGGCCACATGTAATTTATTTTACATTGATGTAAATTTACCGGGATTTTATAATTTTATGTGCAAAAAATCGAGTACCTTTATTAAGATAACCTCTAAGACGTTCATATCAATTAAGTATCATAAAGTGTAGCGTAACAATCACTACATCTTAAACTGCGAAACACATTTCTCACCACAGAGAGGAATGCTGCAATGTTGCCAACGGATGAGTGGGTCCATCGTATAACACCAAGGGTAGGGTTCTTCTCCCCCGGCATTCCTGCAGTAGTTCTCGGCGTCCTGTATCTCGGGGAACACAGCGGGCGGCCGATGGTGCTTGTGCGGTTCCTGCGAGTCCCACCGCTGGCAGGCAATCCCGTTCATGGTTGTATTCTGTTTGCCGAAGTACCAGCGCCCGCGACCCTTCCGGCAGTTGTCTGGGAGGAAAGCAGATATCAGGAGGCTTTCCATGCAATGTTGATGTTTAGAATTAAATGAAAATCTACATGTTTACTAAATATTAGATATAATGTACTTTTGGAGTAGGCAGGTTTTAACAACATCTAAGAAAGCAGGGTTCATCCTGCATCATCTTCACATGTCTTCTAAACTAATCGAACATGCTGTAACAACCTCCTACATATCTTATCACATATTTAAACTTAACTATCCCCACTCAGGCAAAGAATTTCGCCCAGACTCACATGTGACCTGGTCGGGGTCGATCTCAGTGAGGCCGATGTGCGAGCAGACCCTCTTCGATCCATTGCCGTGGCTCTCCAGCTGGTCACAGTCCGGAAGCCGGAAGTGGTTCCTGTTCTTCAAGATGCGGTTCTCCTGCACAGGTACCAAAGGGAAGACTCATAACTCATGCTTTGATACAGTCAGCTGGGTGGACTTCCAGGTTCTTAATATGAATTATTAACTTCAACATAATTATAATAATTAAGACGTTCATCATTTATTGCACTTTCACTAATAGTTAATACTGACACACACATACATACATACGTACGTACATAATCACCCATTGATAAGAAAATAATCGGTATGCATCTCGGTAGAACGGGATAACGCAACATCTAACATCCACCCCAGCCCATCACACGATCACAGATACGGAACTGGAGACAAAAGCGGCCCATTTACCTGTTTGTTCTGTTCGATGAGGAGCCACTCGTTGACGCAGAAGAGGCTCCGCACGGCCACGCAGTCCTCGTGGCAGAGGGGGAGGCCCACCTGGTAGCCGTCTTCTAGGTGGCACTCGGGAAAGGCGAATCTACACAGCAACCTCTGTACACATCGATCAATGCATGGTTAAAAACAACAATAAAATGTTAAGTCATTACTACACATGCATTTACAAAGCTCAAAATATTAAATTTTTATAACGTCAAGGCCGCTTCGGTATAAAGTGAACATAACGTAGTAAAAATATTAACCATATTATTTAAAAAATACATGTGTGTGTTAACAGCACCTATGGAACTATAGTTATAACTGCCTTTAACTTTAACAACAATAAAATGTTAAGTCATTACTACACATGCATTTACAAAGTTCAAAATATTAAATATTTATAACGTCAAGGCCGCTTCGGTATAAAGTGAACATAACGTAGTAAAAATATTAACCATATTATTTAAACAATACATGTGTGT